CCGGGTCAAATGGGAGTTCCATTTGTAGTTTCTTTTTTTATGAATGATTTTTTATTATTTTATTTTTTTTACAGAGAGGAAGGGAGAGGGATAGAGAGCTAGAAACATCGATGAGAGAGAAACATCGATCAGCTGCCTCCTGCATACCCCCCACTGGGGATGTGCCCGCAACCAAGGTATATGCCCTTGACTGGAATCGAACCTGGGACCCTTGAGTCCGTAGGCCGACGCTCTATCCACTGAGCCAAACCGGTCAGGGCAGTTTTCTTTTTAAAAAAAAATATATTTTTATTGATTTCAGAGAGGAAGGGAGAAGGAGAGAGAGATAGAAACATCAATGATGGGAGAGAATCACTGATCGGTTGCCTCCTACAGGCCCCACACTGGGAATTGAGCCTGCAACCTGGGCATGTGTCCCAATCGGGAATTGAACCATGACCTCTTGGTTCATAGGTCAGTGCTCAACCACTGAGCCACACTAGTTGGGCTTCTGCCCAGTCGGGGCACGTGCCTTGCTTGCGGGCTCAATCCCCAGTGTGGGGTGAGCAGGAGGCAGTGATTCTTTCTCATCATTGATGTTTCTCTCTCTCTCTCTCTCTCCCTTTCCCTTCCTCTCTGAAATCAATAAAAATATATTTTAAAAAAAGAAAAATAAATTCATCTGTAGCAGAGAGTAGGTGAGAGAAAGCAGTGATAGATAAAGCTGGAAATAAACGAAGGTTGGTGGTGGATGTCAGCATCTGGGTCACTGGGCAATTTTAACTGTGTTTCAAAGATGAGATTTTTCAATAAGATGAGTTTGCTCAAATTGTTTTGCTTTCTTCCAGGTAAAAAAACCTACCCAAGAAGCGTATCAGAATGAACTACAGATTGAGAGTGTAGAACGTTCCTTCATTCTCTCAGCCAGGTAAGTTTAAAAACTCATAGATGAGCATTTGCCAGTATTATAGGGTCAGCCGTCTCCAGCCTTTTTTTACATTTAAGTTAACTACTAGACTTATCTTTTCCCCCTTCTTTTCTTCCTGAATACCATGCAGGTATCTCGTGGTTTACCATGTAGATAAAATATCTGAGAGTGAATGAATGCAACGAAGTGCTAGAAGCACACAGATAAAAATGTTCCTCTGAGTAGAATAATAATGTTGAAAAATGCTTTGCTGATCATTTTTTAAAGTGAATATTTCAACACATTTTTAAAAACAAAGAAGGTAAAAGGATTAGCCAAAAAATATATATGCATAACCCATAGACACAGACCAGAGTGTGTAGATGGCCAGAAGGAAGGAGGGGTCAAATGCAGTAGGAAGGTGGGCAAAGGCGGAGGAAATGAGGACATCTGTAATAGCGTCAACAATAAAAATAGAGTAAAAATAAATTAATTAATAAAAACATCTAGTGCTTTGAATCTTTTACTAGAAGTTTTCACCTAACATTGAAAGGACATAAATCTACGAGATAGGTGTCATCTCACTAAAGATGAGGAAGACTAAGTTACAGAAAAGTTGAGTTTCTATCTTAAGGATACATAACTGGCAAAGTCACAATACAAATAGAAGTTTTTTGCTTTTAAATCTGTTGTTATTTATGATACCACATTGCCTTAACTAGAACCTTTGGTGCTTATGTATAAGTAAAGCTGTAATACCATATGTAAATAAAGTCCTAAAGAAAACCTGAAGCTGTATAAACATAAATACACATTGTTGAGTTATTGGCCAAGTGACAGAAGTGGGTGTTTGGCAGGATTTGACAGGTGAAGGGAGAGATAGCAGCCACAGTGTGCTCTACTGCTGGATCTGGACAGTGAGTCTGGGCAGCTCTCAGACCAACCTTTGATGTAATAAAAGTGATAGCAAATACTTTAGTAGCATTTACACTGTACCAGACACTATCCTAAGCACTTTCTGTGCATTAATTCATTAAATCTTCACAACAACCTTCAAGGTAAGTGACGACAATTACACCCCTTTAATGGTGAGAAAAGCCACCCAGCTATCAGGTTATCGGGGCCAGGATTTGGACCCAGGCAGCCTGCTCACAGCTGTGTCCAAATCACTGAAATCAGTTAGGGTCTTAGTAGCACCTTGAGTGGAACTGGAACCATTTGTTTTTCTGCATTAGGCATGGTTGTAAAAGTTTTATATTTATTTTCTCTTTTAATTTCTATGATAACTAGTGGAGTTTGTATTGTCTTGACCTTCCATATAAGGAAAATGGAGCCTGAAAACATGTCCAAGTTTACATAACTAGTAAGCAGTGGACTAAAATTTGAACCTAGATGTATCTGACACTAAATTTATGCTTTTAACCATAATAATATTGCCTATGTCCACATGTCAAGGACTCAGACCAAAATCAGAGGAGCACAAGAGCAGCTAGCTCCCTAAGTCATGTCACTTTTCTGAAAGGGAATGGCCACTGCTGCCGGACATCAGATCTCAGGATGACAGGAGAAGTTAAATACCTGTTTTCAGAATTTGTCAGATGCTTCCCAGTTTCCAGCGCTGCGCTGTGCCTTCTCCCCC